GAAGAGGAGATCCACTCGCTTCGTTGACTTCCAAAAACACGAAGAGGAAATGGGAAAAAGACACCGACACGCACACAAGGCGCGGTTTAAGCCACGCATAAGCAATGATCATTCGCGAGACAAGAACACCTGCGTCGCTCACCATCACGCACCTCTCATTGCCTATCATTTGTACCATCCACACGCGATGCTATGATACTCAACAGGTGCAGGTAATTTACCCAGAAGGGAAAAACCATCGACGTTCTACAGCAGGAAGCTCAACCCTGCTCAGACACGTTACACATGTTACCGAGAAGGAACTTCTCAGTATCGTAGAAGAACTCTCGAAAGAGTTCCTCAACATTCTTCTAGGACAGAAAATGTTTTGTCACATACGGACCACAAAGAATTTTACATGCAAAGAACTTCAAAACCGATCAGCGTTTATATGTGGATGGCGCTTATTCTGGGAAGAAATTACGGCCAAAAAACTGTAAACTACGGTAATCAATGGGCGAAACAGCAACATCGTCGCTGATGGTTGTGCGAGACTTAACATCTCCAACAACGAGGTTCTTCAGAACAGATGGACGACAGCGAGATCGCTGAGCTCAGGCTGCAGACGAAGAGGAATTCCCTAGCGAGTTCCCTTCTCTCGTTCCCTCGAGATCGAACATCGTCAGAAGACGACAACGATTCAAGAAGCTCCTCAGGGTCAAGCCAAAACACTACAAGTAACAATCTTATCACCAGAGGGGATAAGTCTAGACTAGTAGTCAAGGACAACAAGATCGTCGTATCCTAAAACTATGCAGAAAGGCTAGTTGAATGGTACTGGTGTGCTGATGGCATCCTGGCGAGAATCGCACGAGAACTACCATTGCAGGCGAACACTACACCTGGAAGGGCTGCGCAGGACCGTGCAGCCGATGTCAGGTTGCCAAAGTGCCAGATGAAAAACCCATAAGGACAGTAAGCTTGTTGATTGATGCCTCAAAAACTTGCGAGGAGATCCCCTTGGGGTGAAAAAAGGACTATGTGATTGACCTTATAGGCCCTTACAACGTCGGGGATCCCAAGAAAAAGGATATTCCTGCACACTTCATTGCCTTGCAATGATTGATCCCGTTGTAACCGGAATGGTTCGAGTTTGCAGAGATCTGCTCCAAGGCAGCAGACGAAGTAGCAATCGTCCTAGAACAAACGTGGCTTATCGGTATCCATGGCCTGCTGAGGTTTTCATGGATAGAGGACGCGAATTCCGCGCAGAGGTCGAAAAACACTCCGGGATGAATACTGGACTTCGTCGCAAGTTCATCACCACGCGTAACCCTCAAGACAACTCTATGGTCGAGCGTGCTCATCAAACCATACGTAACTTGATCGCTGTTCAAAACATCAAGTGTCAAGACGACCTCGTGAACGGATCCTGGGATGGAGTCCTCACGGCGGTTTCGCTTTGCAATGAATGCCACGATTCATACCACTTGCGTGCAACGCCGCAAGCTCGGTTCAATCGTGACGCATTCACAACGTCCGGTTGAAGCCAATGGAAGTACATTAAGGAACGTCGCCAACGACTAATCCAACAAACAACAACGATAGGGGAAAACGCAACGCGTGTCCCTCATCAATACAATGTCAACGATACTTATATGATTTACAGTTCAGACCGCAGTACGGTCAGCCAAAGTACAAAGGTCCGTCCTTACACTATAGACCGAGTCCCTGACAATGGCACTGTACGGCTCCAAACATGCTACGCAACGGCGGCACAGTCTACAGACTTGGAACATAAGGTATATACACCCATTCAAGGCCTCATCCCCTTGTAGCATTGCCATCGTGCGACGCAAATGTCTACATACAAATCTCATTAGAGTGCCCCGCACTTTAAATCATATGTTTTCCTTGGTCGACTGCTGTCGCGCCTTCTGTGACCTTGTCAGGGGGCGAATGCAATACACGGGTATTAGCCTTATTCGCGATCCGATCCTAGATAGGGTTTAATTTTCGATTCACGACTGAGTCTCTCGTTAACTGTCATTTGAGACAGGGTTACCAATGACCGCGCTAGTCACTAGGTGTGATGAGGGGTTAGGAAACATCGATCTTGATATTTAGCCAGCGTGTGGTACTTCCACGCTACTATTTCCAGGCTAGACAAACCTTACAGCGTTCGTTTTAGGATCGTGGAGGGACGTAGGACTACTACCAAAACTTCTATCAATTTTATTAAGTCTCGGGGAGAGCCAGATCTTACGAGCCTGTGATGATGATTCTTCGTGATTATTTTAAGGATTCTAATTTCTTCTATACTTTCATTATCTCAACTCAAAAATACGAAAGTCTTTAAAGCTTTTAGCGTAGTGGATTCCTTTTGGTTCATTTGGCAAGAATCAAACACCAGTTGTTCTGATTTGAGCTTAACTGACTTTGATCGTGACCATGAGCAGTTGTGGTTGTTGGTTGAAATCGAGACTGACATCCTTTTGGGGCTCAGTCGCAACAAGTGGACAAGCTGTCCTCTTGTGTCTTGCATTACACAACAGAGTGCGAGGAGCTCCTTGCTTTGCCTTTGTGTGTCGCGATGTATTTACTGGAGTGGGGCGTTTTGTTCCTCCAGCATTGGCTGTGTCGGATTCGGTGGGCGATACCTCTGCACCAGCAATAACTGGTGGTGTAGATCCATTTGCCAAGGATGCAAGAACTGCAGCAGTCTCATGGCGAGCGGCAGAGTCAAGTGGAGAGCCTCCACCAATGGAGTCAGGAGGTGTTCCAAGGTCGACAGCCATCAATCCACCAACTGGAGTGGGGGATGTTCGTGGTGCAACAGCAGGAGCGGAATCATCATCATAAAGCTCATTCCCTTCTTCATCTTGCATCACTCCAACAGTAGGCGGCATCTTCGCGGTCTATGCTAAGGTATGCATTATCAAGCGGCGACCAAGGGATAACAGAAAGCATGAAACTCTTTTCTTCCAACCATAAACCTGCACAAACGCTGTTGTTCCATTTTCATTGCCCGATCTCAACTGTTGACCAGTGCAACGTACAAAACAAATGAGGCAATTCTGCTCACATTATCCAATTAATTTCTGCCTGACAGAAACAAAGCTGTGGCGACAACACTACCACGTAATATGGACTCTAACAAAAGCCAATCGACAGTCTCTATATCTATAAGGGAAATGATAGTTCGATATCTGTTGTCCTATTCTTATGGTTACGAGTTTGCTTTCTTGGCAAAGAGCGTTACAGAGGCTCATTTGCGACATCACTGTGACAACTCTCGTGATCTCTCTACCCCTAACTCGTTCCTAATTGTAGCTGGTTGGATTTTATAATAGGTAATATATCTTAGTTAAGATGAGTGTTAGATATTTCGCTGACCCAAACCCACACCAGAAATCACGGCACGCAACAAATTTTTGTGCTTCCCAAATTCTTTCGAAATTTCTTGCTTATTTTTGGTAACATGCGCCCAGAAATCTCAAAGGTGAGTCTCTTATGCATCGTTCAGATTCCAGTGCATATTCAGTATATTAAAGCGAGTTTTAAGCATGATTTCACGACCTGCCAACTGATTTTCCACCTTATTGTCCTCTTAAAATTGTTTCCAATTTTAATTTAACAAAGTTGTTTCAAGCTTTTAAAAAGAGCATACCTCATCTTTCCCAGACTCCATTTATTTACAAGTATCAGATTGATATCCACGAGCACGTGATTTTCATGTCACCTGAAATTGATTGCAACCCAGTGTCATTCTACAGAGAGCACTGAATCAATTTTCTGGTAAATTCTCTGTGACAGAGATCAATATAGTTTCGATCCAGTGGTGTACTTACAGATCCCAGAACAACTGACAAAAACCCGCGAACCACTTTTTTCACCCAAGATTTCAGAGAAAAAACTGGTAAACCGAACTCTGTAGAATGCAGTACACTTTCCACGTGAGTTTAGGGGCAAGAATAGAGTTCTCTTTTCAGAGGTCATTCGTGCCTCTTCTTCTACGTAGTGGATACGTTCGTTTATTCGGGCAGTTCTTGTTTTGTGTGATCTGACCAATGTTTACAGTACATTTCTATTGACTGCTACAAAAAGAAAAAAAACTCAAACCATGGGTGAAAAAAGTGGTTCGCGGGTTTTTGGTCAGTTGTTCTGGGATCGTAGAGTATCTGCCCATTAAGACCCACAGTAGATTAAGACTATTGTAATAAATAGAGTACGTACGTAGGATCCTACGTAGACTCAGTACCAGCCTATGAGAGTGCTTCCTAGGGGCCACGTAGGATCTTACAGATCCTCACGTAGGATCCTACGTAGATCAGTACCGTTGAGTCTTAATATGCAGATGAAAAGAATTTGTCAAAAGTGAGGATAATTTCAACTGCTCATAACCTCCACCATAAGTACACTGTGATGCTGCGAATTTATGGCTTACTCAACAACATGTGCTCTTCGTTCAGCTACTTAGAAGTGTAATATTCGATATCGCTCTGAAGAAATTATTCGCGGACACGTCGTCTATACCAGATCACTCTAGTTTCCCGTTGCGCAATTCTATCGTATGTTACGGGGCACGGGCTGGTTGGTGCGCATAGCTCCGATGACCCATTACGGACGGGATCGGGAAGGCAAGTCACAGACGAAAGGAGGCCCGGATGGTAACACCGTTCACGGTTTACGTACACTAAATTGTTGAAGGGAACTAAAGGTAGCGAGATGTATTACGAATGATTTTATAGATTATGAGGAAAGCTACTTTGTTGTCTCTTGATATCTGTGATGAGTGGAGGCTAGATTCGGTTGACGGTGGACGGTCAGCCGGCCGGAATCAGCACACCTCAGCCTCTACTCAGGTATGGCTAGATATCGTGCGGCTTTGAGAATGTGGTGAGCCGTCGTGTGATGCTTGCAGTATCAGCATCATTCTCTTTGCCAGGGCTCCAATATACTAGGAATTGTCCCTGTTGTATGCGATACTATGATCCAATAGAAGGCATGTCGATTGCTTTGGGTCGTCTTTGTTTGACTGTGTAAGGGCGAGTCCAACGCCACTCTTGTCGTTTGGATCGGGGCTGGTGTTTGGTGGCCCATCTTCCAGGTTATTCGGATGTGCAAGCTTCCCTGGCATTGTAGTAAGAGCTGCCAGTTCTGCTTCGTAGCTAGGCAAGCTACCCATGGTAGATGGAGCTTAGATGACTTAGGATTGGATCCCGTTGTGTGCGAGGTGCTTGTCGGCTGGTTTGGATCTGTTATGGTTGTTGTGTAGTGAGTTCATAGGATAGAGTGGCTGCCACTCTGGAGCGAAATGACTTCGGTTTGCAGGAGTGGGTTTGTGCATCCAACTGTGGTATGGGACAAGGATCATGCGCTTGCATCGGTATCTGGGACTTGTGGCGTATGGGGTGGGTTGAAGCAATAGTCTATAGTTGAGTGAGCTCTTTGATTGGTGGCCTGAGTTCTTCGGTCTGGGCTGAGGCGAGTGTGCCAAGGGATACTAGCATGGTTGAGTCAACTGCTCTTCCATAATATGGGAGGGTTCCGATGATTTCTTGGAGGCGTTTTGTGTCTTTTTTTTGGAGAGGATTGGTAGTGTCATGCTTGGCTGTGAGACTGGAGTGTCTTGGCTCCAATATTGCGCAGGGTTGCATTTTGGTGAATGGTGATTTTGGGTGCTGGTTTGGGGTAGTGGATGTATCGAAACGTGTAGGGTTTTGTCGATGTACTTGGCATAGGAAGATGGGTCGACTGGTTCTATTGTGTAGTCCCAGTTTTAGAGTGAGGACGCATAGAGGTTCGGTTCAGGTCGTTGTATAGTGTTGGGCTTGGATGTTGTCGATGAGGTGTTGGGCGTGTTCTTCGCCAGTGTACTGGATTCCGAAATCATCTACTACCAGTGTGAACATTATGGGCCTTGTAGTGTGTTTGAAGAGGCCGTGGGTGTGTTTGGTTTGGTGGTAGCCATTTTGAGCTAGGAATTTGACTAGTCGATCATTTGCAAGGCGTCCGGCTTGGGGTAGTCCATACATGCCTTTTCTTATTTCTACGTAGATGTATCCGTTATGGATTTTGGAGTCTAGGTCGTATCGGCGCATGATGTCAGCTGGGATGTCATCTACACGAAGCCGCATGTATTCATATTCTGTCATTGGTGTGTTTAGATAAAAATCTTTTATGTCTGCAGTACAGAATTTGGCATCGGGAGTGGATATGACGCTGTTTAGTAGGCATTTTACGGTAGTGAGATCGGATGTTTTTGTTGAAACTTCACCGTCGTATTCAATGCGGTTTCCCCCGACGGTCCATCGGACTCGTTTCTTTACCACTTTGTGTGGGCGGTCTTCGGGTACAAGTCGAGCATATGTGGGTTTTTTATTGTGTGGCACCTGGTCCTTGGTGATGAAGTAGCATGTGTTGGTTCCACTGTCGGGGTGGGCGTCGTTGCCTTGGCAACATCGACCAATTTCGTCACTGAACATTTGTTCCCATATGTCTCCTTCAGAATTTCGTCTAAGTTCTTGGTAGCTGGCTTCTCGACCGGTGTCGATGTTGACGGCGTTGCAGACTTGCGGAGCGTTGAAGGGGGACGGCTGGGGGAAAAGTCGTTCTAGGCGGTGGCTTAATAATTGTTTTAGGGCTATGGCTGCGGGTTTGTTGCGTTTTTTACGCTTGGATCGTGGGGCCTTAAATGTATGGTCTCGTGAATTTTGGTGTTGGCCGTAGATTGCGTTGTGTTGCGATGGCTTTACCTCATATAGCGTGTGCACGCAGATAGGATATGCTCTCGCTCAGTCGTGTACGAGTGTAGTGAGCATATATGGGTAGTACTTGAGCAGCTCAGGCTCAGTTAAAGTATCGAAACAGCAAAGCAACCGACCTGGTATCATGATATGGTGTCTGACTGCGTGTGCTGGGTGATGTTTAGATAGAACGGACGCTATCTTGATACTATCCCCGCAAGGTCTTATCCCAGTCGGACGAGCGTAAGAGATTCGGTCGCACTGAGATGTGAGATTTCGTTGAGTACGTGGGCGACTTAGTCGATACTCGCTAGGGTCTATTGATGTAGCGCGATTGGTGTGACGGATAGCGCTGCGGGCATGACAGATCGACTCGCGCGTCTGTGTGGTGAGCTTCTTAGATATTGAGTGCGGAGTAGGTCTCGCCGCGGTTCTCGCCTAGTTGGCGTGCTCGCGCTCGCACTCTAGCGTAGCGCTGAGAGTCGTTAACGGAGCTAAGGGTGAGTTGGGGTTTGGGTTTGCCAATGCGTTAGTGAGATCATTGGCTGATTTGATGACTATGTCTGTTGTGCTATTGGTTGGCATGGTTACGTGTATGGGGAACCATTCTACGGTATCCTTTATTCGGGTGGCTCTGGTTTCAATGCACCATGCTTGATTGCATCGATACGAGTCCATGGCATGTCCAACGTACCATGCTTCTCTCGCATGGGGGTCCCATGATGCTCGATTTCCTGGTTTTTCGTGGCCTGGTACGAATGTGCCTGGTGGAGTAGATGCTGTGGTGTATGCAGCATAGATAGTTATCGCTCCACATGTAGTACGATCATTGTTGTTGTTGAGAGAAGGCATCCGACTCCACGCACGCATGTGACTCATGGCTGTTATTCGCTATAGGCACGAAAACCAGGAACTGTCGGTGCATATGGCTACGATCTATGCGAAAGAAGAATGGTACGTTGGACCTGCAATGGACTCGTATCGGTGCGATCAAGCATGGGGCATTGACACCAGAGCCACCAGAATAATGGATACCGTAGAATTGTTCCCCAGACACGTAACCATGACAACCCATAGCACAACAGAAATAGTCATCAAAGCAGCCAATGATTTCACTAACGCATTGGCAAACCCAAGACCCAACTCTCCCTTAGCTACGTTAACCGACAGTGAAGTACACCAACTAGAAACCATCAAACAAATACTCCACAACAAAGTTCCCACCGTCCCACAGACACCACCACTTCAGAGGGTGACCCAAAAGACACCCTGGATCCTAAGGGACCACATCAAACCAACCCAGCGAGATCCTGACTGGAAAGACCGAATTGCCACAAAAAATCACCACCGCAAACTACCCACACGCAACCAAAAAGCCAACGCAGCCAGAAAACAATCGGCTGCCACTAGGAAAGCAATCGCAAACACACGCAAAACTACGGCCCAACACAAAAAATTCACAGACAGATCATTTAAGGCCACGATCAAGCGACAACGCAGCAAACCGCAGCCATAGCCCTAATACAATTATTAAGCCACCGACTGGAACGACTTTTCCCCCAACCTTCCCCCTTCAAAGCTCCGCAAGTCTGCAACGCCTTCAACATCGACACCGGTCGGGAAGCCAGCTACCAAGAAATTAGACGAAATTCTGAAGGGGACATATGGGAAGAAATGTTTAGTGACGAAATTGGTCGATGTTGCCAAGCCAACGACGCCCACCCCGAAGTGGAAACAAACAGCATGACTTCATCACCAAGGGCAGGGTGACTCACACAATAAAAACCATTGTCGACTTCGTGACCCGAAGACGCACCACACAAAAGTTGGTAAAGAAACGGTCCGATGGACCGTTGGGGCATAGCACGCGTGCTATTGGAAGCTCAACGCCGGCTCGCACGCGGTTTACAGTAAAATTTCCGATAGGGTCAGATATGGCTGTGTGTAATGCTAAACGAGGTCACATATCTCAGTCTTGTACTGTTGAGGAGATAGTCAGTGTGTGTTATTAGATACGCTCTGTTTACACTATGATACACATGATATTAATGGACAACGCCACTGCTTCATATGCGGTCTGGTATATAGATGAATCCCAGCTGACAATCATCGCGCACGTCGTCGAGATAACTTCTCGCTCACGATCGAGCCCCCGGGCTACGGTGTGTGTGAAATAGAAAAGGGGAGAGACTGTAATGGATACCTAGCGGGGCCTTGCAAGATCGACTAAGTCAATTCTAGCTCAAAATGATACGAACGATATATGCGCTGATCACGCGATACTCAGAACACACTAGCTACAGCGCATCCATAAGTCAAACTAGATAGATGATGCTGGTTGAAGACTACTGTCAGCGCCTAGTACTATATTGTAGCAATTGGAAGTGAGCAATAGGTTATTGACACCATCAAGCCCATACTCATAACTGACAGGAGACTAGTCGCGCGGTGTAGATTGCTATTGACGCGCTCTCACTCCCTAAATTGGACTCATCGACTATAGATATAACAGCGGTGGATGTGTGAATAGAGAGATATTCACATGGAAGACAGAGCTCAGGGTGCGACGTTTCGACACATCCACACCCAAACATGAGCAGGTGACAAGATGCCACTCGCTTGATACAATATATGGGAGCCAAGACAGACTCTCGCAGTGTTGACACGACCAATGTCTTCTCCTCCATGGACCGCACAGCGAGCCTTATTCACTTCGGAGGTCTGCGAGGCGATTCATAGCTTATCCGCGCTAGCGGCACAGGCGATCGTTCTCAGAGCAGCTAATCGTCTGTAGTCTGGCCTTGGAACGCAGAGCGAGCGGCATAGATAGTCGTCGAGGAACTCAGAGCCACGATCGTCGCTATAGATCTTACTCATCGCGGAATATATCTCATCTCACTGATCTACGATTAAGGCCCACGCGGCAATTGAGATCCTGTGCGACACACAGTGCTCGCTATCGAATACTCACTCTCGACGCTGGACTTGGACGCTCCTAGAGAGATCTTGTGTGAGCGCGCATCTACTTCAATCCTATCGATCATACAACCAACCAAAACAGCTCCAAACCAGCGGCAAAGCACCTCACACAACGGAGCAGTCCTAATCATCAGCTCCATTCTACCCATGGTGCTTGCCTCAGCTACGTAAGCAGAACTGGCAGCTCTTTACTACAATGCCAGGGAAGCTTGCACAATCCGAACAACCTTGGACGAGATGTGCCACCCACAACCAGCCACACCGATCCAAACCGACAACAAGGTAGCCGTGGGACTCGCACTAAACACAGTCAAACAAAGACGATCCAAAGCAATCGACATGCGCTTCTATTGGATCAGAGATCGCATACAACAGGGCCAATTCCTAGTATATTGGCGCCCTGGCAAAGAGAATTTGATGCTGACTACTTCAGCAAGCATCACCCGACGGCTCACCACATTCTCAAACGCGCACGCTATCTCCAGCCCATACCTGAGTAGAGGCTGAGGGTGTGCTGATTCCGGCCGGCTGACCGTCCACCGTCAACCGGAATCTAGCCTCCACTCATCTACAGATATCCAGAGACAACAAAGTAGCGTTTCCTCATAATCTTATAACATCATTCGTAATACATCTCTCGCTACATTTAGTCCCTTCAACAATTTGAGGTTGTACCGTAAACCGTGAACGGTGTACCATTCCGGTGCCCTTTCTGGTCTGTGACTGGCCTTCCCGATCCGCGTCACGTAATGGCGCGTATTCCGGAGCTATGCTGCCACCAACCAGCCCGTGCCCCGTAACATACGATAGAATTGCCAACGGGAATACTAGAGTGATCTGGGTATTAAGACCGACCGTTCCGCGGAATATTCTCTTCAGAGCTGGATATCGAATATTACACTTCTAAGTAGCTGAATCGAAAGAGCACATGTTGTTGAGTAAGCCACTAAATTCGCAGCATCACAGTGTACTTATTGGTGGAGTTATGAGCAGTTGAAATTATCCTCACTTTTGACACGAATTCTTTTCATCTGCATATTAAGACTCCACGGTACTGATCTACGTAGGATCCTACGTGGAGGATCCTGTAAGATCCTACGTGGCCCCTTAGGAAGCACCTCTAAGGCTGTGGTACTGAGTCTACGTAGGATCCTACGTACGTACCTCTATTTATTACAATAGTCTTAATCTACTGTGGGTCTTAATGGGCAGATCACTCTACAGATCCCAGAACAACTGACCAAAAACCCGCGAACCACTTTTTTCACCCATGGTTTGAGTTTTTTTTCTTGTTTTCGTAGCAGTCAAGTAGAAATCGTACTGGTAAGAACATTGGTCAGATCACACAAAAATCAAGAACTGCCGAATAAACGGTATCCCTACCGTAGAAGAAGAGGCACGAATGACCTCATGAAAAGAGAACTCTATTCTTGCCCCTAAACTCACGTGGAAAGTGTACTGCATTCTACAGAGTTCGGTTTACCAGTTTTTTCTCTGAAATCTTGGGTGAAAAAAGTGGTTCGCGGGTTTTTGTCAGTTGTTCTGGGATCTGTAGTACTACCACTTCGAGAACAATTGACTCTGTGTCACAGAAATTTCACAGAAATTGAATTCAGTAGACCTCCTGTAGAATGACTACTGGGTTGCAATCAATTTCTGTGACATGAAAATCACGTGCTCGTGATTCAATCTGATCCTTTAAATAAATGGAGTCCTGGGAAAGATTGAGGTATCTCTTTTTTAAAAGCTTGACGACTTTTTAATTAAATTGAGTGGAAAATCAGTTGGCAGGTCGGAAATCTCTTTTTTAAAAGCTTGACGACTTTTTAATTAAATTGAGTGGAAAATCAGTTGGCAGGTCGGAAATATGGCTTCTCTTTGACGATGCACAGAGACTTCACCTTTGAGGATTTCTGGGCGCATGTTACCAAAAATAAGCAAGAAATTTCGAAGAAATTTGGGAAGACAAAAATTGTTGGCGTGCCGTGATTTTTGTGGGTTGTGGGTTGTGGGTTCGCGAAATATCTTAACACCAAGTCTTATAAATATATACCTTATTATTAAGAATCCAACCAGCTACATTTGGATACGAGTTAGGGGTAGAGATATCACGAGAGTTGTCACGTGATGTCGCAAATGATGCCTCTGTATAGCTACTTTGCAAGAAGGCAAACTCGATAACCATAAGAGATAGGACAACATTAGTATGAACTATCATGTTCCTTATAGTATAGAGCTGTCGATTGTGCTTTGTTAGAGTGTATTCGGTGTAGTGGTTGTCGCCACAGCTTTGTTTCTGTCAGGCAGAAATTCATTGGATAATGTGAGCAGAATTGAAAAAAGAGAGAGAGATTCTTGTTGTCTTAATGCATCTACCACCAACAGTAGATGCGAGGAGCTCCCTGCTTTGCCTTTGTGTGTCGCGATGTATTTACTGGAGTGGGGCGTTTTGTTCCTCCAGCATTGGCTGTGTCGGATTCGGTGGGCGATACCTCTGCACCAGCAATAACTGGTGGTGTAGATCCATTTGCCAAGGATGCAAGAACTGCAGCAGTCTCATGGCGAGCGGCGGAGTCAATGGGAGATCCACCACCAAGAGCATCAGGCGGTGTTCCCACAAGGTCGACAGCCATCAATCCACCAACTGGAGTGGGGGATGTTCGTGGTGCAACAGCAGGAGCGGAATCATCATCATAAAGCTCATTCCCATCTTCATCTTGCATCACTCCAACAGTAGGCGGCATCTTCGCGGTCTATGCTAAGGTATGCATTATCCAGCGGCGACCAAGGGATAACAGAAAGCATGCAACTCTTTTCTTCCAACCAGAAACCTGCACAAACGCTGTTGTTCCATTTTCATTGCCCGATCTCCACTGTTGACCAGTGCAACGTACACAACAAATGAGG